AACAGAACCGGAGCGACTTCGGCTACTAAAATATAAATTGTTCTCCCGTGGTCTCGACCCTAGGCTCTCGACATTAACAGCAATAATAGTACCCGGTTTCAACCTCTGTAGTTCCCTATAAAATCAGTTAATAACAGCGTCCCATTTTCTCTCTGCGGCGAGTGCGGTATTAATTATGCAGTTCGATAATCCTTAATCATCAAATTGGTAACGTTCGAACTATCGATAATAATAGAGTATAAGGTAGCGGTAGTAGACACATTTCTATTACAATCTATTACTTCGCAACAGCGCTTGCACCAAGTGTTTCATTTCCTTCTCTTTCCCGTTTGGTCGGTATTTATAATATACTATGTATATAATCTATATATATCATCTGTCGACCATCCCCGTACGAAGAAAGGACGGTTAAAAAAATAAAGACGGAAAACGGATTTTCTTTTCTTCCCCTTTAAAAAAATAAAAAAAGAAAATTGCTCCGCTTCTACACGGGTTATACGAGTTCACCTGAGACGCGGTCGCCTGACTTGCCAGACCCGCCATCTTTGCGGCGGGCCGCGCGAATCAATTCGGACTCTACATCATCCGGCGACACATTATTCCAATCGGTTTGCATGCAGCTGTCCGCTTTCCTCTACTCTTTCTATTTCATTTCTTCGTCGCGCTCTTTAAAACGTTTATAGTTAATAATTCTTATTTGACGTTGCACTTTCATTGACTAGTTTTGTGATTTGCAGCGTATTCGCGAGCGTACCCGAGCAATTATACTCACCCCCACGCTTCCCACCCGCCCTCCCAATGTACCTGAGTGCAAACTACTCTCGTTCAGAGCAATCGGACGTCGACTCGTTCCCCCCGAGCTTCCTTCTTCCTCTTCTTCATCCGTTTCTTTTATTCCCACCGGTTCGTTTCCGTTGCCATACTCCTTTCCTTCCTTCCTCTCCGTGATCCGATCACCGGGACTAATTTTCCTATTTCCACGATCAACGACCCTCTTCCGTCATCGGCCGAGTCCCCGTGGCGTCTGTCCTCCTTCCGTGATCCAACAGCAAAACCATCAAATCTAGAAAAGTAGACTCGATGAATAAGACTCGAGAACCGCGGTTCCTTCACGATCGAAGATCCTTTAAAACGTCTGCGGTCCGTCGAATCCAGAGAATCTCCAGTGATGGCCCTGTGAAGCGTACAGCTCCACTGGAGATCCTTTCATCCGCGGAGTCAGAGAACGCGCGTAATTGACAACTATTACGAACGGATCGCCCCGTTGACCCAGCGGGGATCAATGGGATCAACCCTTTGTAATCTCCACTCAGAGGATCCTCTCGGATACTGGTGCGCTGTCAATCGCATCGCGGGGACTCGGGGACTTTAGACAGCCGGTCGAATGCGACGCGGGATGGGAATGACGGCGTTGACCAACGATGAAGGTGGAAAGGTGGATCCTGCGACGACACCTTTCGTAAACGCTTCTTCGTTCGCTCGTTCCCATCTTCCTCCATTTCGAGACGTCTCCCTTGCGAACCACATTGTGTGCCACTCGCGGATTACTCGAGGAACCATGCTGACTTCCCTATCCCCTCCTCGGCCTGAATGGTATTACAGGTAACGACGAACGGCAACCTCGGAGACGTCCTCTTTTATTGTGGCACTGTGTCCGTTACCGAGTGGTTCGACTGCTGGAACGCCTTCAGGTTCAACTCGGCCTTGTGCTCTCGCGCGATGTGCCGTCTGACCGTGTTGTTCCGCGTGAACGTCCGCGAGCAGAACGGGCACGGCACTCTGATGCCCTGGTGACGCTGCCTGATGTGGGCTCGCAGATTCGTCTCGTAACCGTACAGTCTCTCACAGAATGGACACTTCAGCTTCTTGCCTGGAATGGGGAAATGATCACGGTTACGGTTTGCTGATGGTATTGATGATTGTATTAGGTTGGCTCAGTAGGTTGTTCGAAACAGTATATCTTAGTACAGAATATATTTCACCAATGAAAATGAGGATCATCAGCAGCCACAAATTTTCGCCAGCAAAAGCAAGTTTATTTATTTTAGTAATATAGATCACAACTATTATCTTCAAAGCTGTGTTATTTTTAATAATTGACTAGGAAATAGAAATTCCACGTTCATTCTAGATCGATGTTCGTAAACATAATATTTAATTCTGACTGGAAAAAAGAAAATAATACTTATATTTATTAAATTTAGCTTGAAAATTTCATCAGGAGTTCAACATGATATTATAAGGCAAGGGGTTGTCAAGAACAGATTCTTTATTATCAACCGTAGGTACGAGAAAAAAGAAGTGAACCGCCTATTCGGCTTTAAGAATGAAGTTCCGAACAGGCCAATGGCATCCAGATTGTCGGCACGTGTAAGGCCGCCGAAGAACGCGACGAGCTCCACCTTTGTCGATCGAATCTCGTCGAAGGGCGTCATTTACACAAATAATACTGTTTTCCTTAGGCGATGCGGAACCGATCATTAATTCCCGGAGCTGGCGTTTACGCGGCCCGACCATGACTGTTTCGAATTCATTTCGGTTTACTAAGCGTCTCACGAAAATCCTCAGGTAAGAAACAACTAATTCGATACTATCCTCGCGGCAAAACCGTGCGAACAAACGACAATCTTGTTATTATCGATACGGGAATTAGAAAAATTACCGATACCGTACTGGGAACTTTATTTCATAATATCTGAAAGACCGAGAGAATTCTTCAATAGGTTCAAACAGAATTCTTTAGAAGAATGCTAATTGTAGATTCTTTAGGAGGTTCTGAATAGCTTCTAATTTCTGATAATTATACACCTCTGATGTAACCAGGCAAAGACGATTATGACGACTATGCCTGGGAAATGGAATCGAAAGTTCATAGTAATATTTTTAAATATCTTCGTTTGAAGAAATTGTTGAAATGAAATCGTGTCTGTGTAACATGTGCTTCTTCTACTTATAGTAAACATCGTTTCTGCTAATATTGTATCCATACCTTGACAATTTTAGCATTTCGTACTGGCTTGCAAAGTGGTACGTTGTAAATTAACTTAATAAAAATTAAATTAAAATAAAAATTCTGATTTAATCATATTGCCATGCTCGTAAGAAATATACGTGATCTTATACATGAAAGAATTTCTCTTTTTACTAACTCCAATTTTACAATAACAAAAATACAAGATCTGCAAAACACCGATTACTTTTAAATTTTGAAAATTGTATTTAATACGAGTAGGAAATAAAAAAACAAATCAATAACACAAAAAATAATTCACAAAAATCTCAAACAGTAAAACACAAAAACTCTTTGCACTCGAAAATATTTTTCATTATAAATATCTGTTATATTCTAATGAAATATTGATAATATTATGTGTAACTAACATAAAGAAAAATCCTGCATAAATTAAGAATCACAACTATTTTACTTCTATGTTTTATATCTTGATAACACATACAAAATCTAATATTGAATTTCAACATTCAACATTCTGCTGCATTGAAACAAATGTCGTGTTGCCTTCCGAGTGCGAAGGGTTAAAACAAAGATTCCGGGCAGGATTGCAAAATTGGATTAGATCAGTGTTCGCCTTCGAAACGATTTACGTCTGTTTAATTCCGTTCGAAGTAACCGCGAACAATGCAACCACAGAGAATCCATTATCACGAAGTCACAGGATATCCAAGGCTGACCGCGTCCGCTCTGTCTCGCCGCAACCACGCGCGTGCACGCTACAACACGCGGAACCGCCCCGGCTTTTCGGCGAGTCGCAGCTAAAAATAGAGGCCATGGGCCATCCTAGAAAAAGTAAACGGAGCCGCGGGGCTCGATTTCGTGCAGCTGACTAGGAAATTCACAAAGGATCGTTGCCGAAACAAAGGCGAATTCGTGAAGACGTTCTACGCGGAACTGTGGGAGGGGGTTAGGGCCCGGAGGAAATGTGCGAGCCGAAGACAGAAGCTGACAGGGGGTTAGGAAGGGGGAGAAGCGCCGTTAGAGACGCAGTCCAACGTGGGACAGAGACGAATAGATATAAGGGAAAAAAGAGGACGAGAGGAGAGAATGATGAAGGAGGACTAAAGGACACGAATAGGGGAGGAAATGAGACAGAAATCGACGGTTAGGGGAGGGGTGAACAGGTATGGAAGAAGGCCGCGGGGTACGTCCGCCCCTGAGACATTGCAGAAGCGAAAACATCGTGTAAATGTGTGTCCAAGCGATGAAAATAATGTGATAAGCCATCCAGAGATCGAATCTATGGTTTTCATTGCAGACTGTTTTAACCAGTTACCTGTGCTGTCCTCTATGAAAAGTGTGCACATAAATTCCACATCTAAATTTGCACTGTACATCGTCTTTTATATAATATATTGTTTTGTTTGTTCATTTCATTTCGTCCCGTTCTCTGAATATTTTAAATATCTTGAACTTTACGAATATAGTTTGATATTCAGTAAAATTGCGATTTAAGTGGCAACTATTTGTAAGTAACTACTTCTTCCGCTTGATGAGTATACTCGTAGCAACGCGAAATATTGTCAATATTGACTAAGTGAAAATGTTCTATAAATTATGTAGAACAATTTTTCTCGGTTGAAGCTGCATCTACGTTTCCACGGAGTTCTAAAAATTTACACAAATTGCTTCTATATATAAGATAAAAAGGTTAATCCTCTCTGAATGCTAAAAAAATTGTAGTTTAAGAAAATCTTAAAATGGATAGTGGCAACATGTTCTTCCTCATCGCATAGAATTCTCGTCACATTCTAGAATGATACGAAAAGCGAGATTAAAAACATGCTGAGACGTCTATCGCATGATTGGCACTGCACATTTGCTAGAAATACGAAAAAAATGCAACTACAATTTCTCATCGCACTTTTGTTTCTGATTCAACGTGCGTCGCTACCGAGAAACGATCGCTTCCGCGAAAGGCTGCGCCATCTGCCCGGCTGGAAAATTCCGGGCTGCGGATCGCTCAAGCGTGTATCATCGGCGATTATTATGGGACATCCCCCGATTACGGCGGGAGGAGAGCAGACCGATCCGAAACGGACCGCCCGGTGTGTTTCGTGTTTAGACGATTAAATCGAGGAGCATCCCGGCTATCGAGAGTGGATAAGTGTGGCCTGCAGTTGACAGATCTCTCGTGACTGGCCGGATCACGGAAACACGTTTAACGTTCTCGTTTCTTTTTCGCGACCTCGAACACCCGTGATCCTAGCCGTCCCCAGTTGTTAGAAAGTTTCTAATGGGATCACGGACTCGTCGACTTTTTTACCGGTTTACGGCACGGATTATGTTGATTTTATAATGGAATAATAAATCCGTTTTTATTTAACTAAGACAATAGGTAAGTACAAAGTCTTCTCGGCACAACAGATCGGGACGTAACGTGAAACTACATTAGCTTATTTTATAAATATTGTCACGGAGATTGGATAATTTATAAATATTAATGGATTATAGTTTTACCCAGTTGAATCCATAGACGGCTGTCATTGCTAATTACGTTCTCAATAGATTGTTAAAAACAGAGGCAGCTTTGCGGTTAACCCATTCGCGAGACAGTCATTTTGTATGCTTTGTAGACAAAATGCGCTTAGACTATACAGTAGGAATAACCCAGAAAATACTTAATAGTTGATTAGATGCTGCGACGGTATGGCATTACAGAGCAAAACGGAAAATATAACGTAGTAATATTTATTAACGACAGAATACTAACATATGCTTCGAGCCTGACAGGTTATTCTGCGCGAATCGCGATTTTGTGTATTTGGAAAAAATATTTCAAATCCGTGTACGGTAAACGATTTAATTTTGTTACGGTCTAGTTTATTTAGCTTATTCAGTTTATAATTGATGATATTATTGGAAATGTTCAATATTGTTGTATTGGAAATATAAAGATATATTAGCAACAAGAAAGTGATTTGCTTAGGAATCTTTACGTGTGTTTTTCATATTTTGGTACAGTCCAAGAGTTTTACTCGGGAGTCTGTATTTCGCAGTAACCAAAGTAGTAACAGAAAATAAGCAAGACCCAATGTCTTGTAGTAGAATGCGTAGTAGTATCAGACACGAGGCGTTATTTCTGGACGGTCTGGAAGAGATATAATTCGGTGGTGAGTATTTTTATGATGTATGCATGTATTATATATTGCAGCGCGACTCATTCTGATCAATTATGTATTTTTACCGATACTTCTTGGAATTTTATTTGTCGATTAAATATAAATCCTTTTTACTGCGTTTTTCATGAATTTTCGTGAGTTTTACGTCCCTTTTTGAACGCTATCTATGTAAAACCAACACAATAGGGTCGACAATAATCACATTTCCATTTTCTTAGCACTCTAGTGTTCATTTGACCTTATTCGATTTACTCGCATTCTCATTTTGTTAAGAACAGGTACTTCTAATATTGAAAATGATATGATTGACATACGTCCCTGAAAGATTAACCCCTTACCATACAATAACGACTGTGACTCACAACGAATATTTCTAAATTAATATAATAAAAATTAATTGTTCATTGCCCACGGGTCAAAGTAAACAACTATTTTGCTATTACCAATTGAATATCGTCAAAGCATTAAGTGCCAGAGAAAGTTCATGCGGTTTTCATGTTAGCAATGAATTGATGTGCGATTTCAATTAGTATTTTACTAATATAATCTATGAAATTAGTACCAGAGTAGCAAGTTATGTTTATACCGTTGTTATCAAATCAAATAAAATTATTTCATAAAATTCGTCTGTGCGTATGAATTTTAGTTTAACCCTTTCGTCCCGAATGGTACACATAGGTATCACGAACATTTTAAATTACCGGAGAGCTAGAAAATACCTAGATAAAGGAAAAC